ATGGACCTTTTGCGGTGGCAACGAATGTTAAGTTTGTGCTGCTACAAATGTGCCTCGGCGGAAACATTGGCGGCTATGAGCGTTCACACGCACAACTATTGCAATCGCTCAGTTATCTGTCATTTTACCGAAAAAAAAATAACAATTTTCAATAGTTCTAGAAGATTATTGAAAGAGTGCTTTCATAGCGAACTGAAAGGTTACTTTTCCAATAACATTGTTATTAACATAATATCACCATAACTGGTATTATGGGAATTTTTACTAGTAAAAGCAATATATGAATTACCTTGTACCAACGGCAACGCATGGGAGCTATCATGGGCGAAACAATATACTCTGTTATGTCCATGGTACTGCTCATGTCTATAGACGACGGTTACCACTTTCCATCAGGTGGGCCGTCAGCTTGTTTGCCATTCTAAGCTGCTTAAAAAAACCAAAACATTTAATGGTAGATTTATGTGTACAATGGTCTGCAGTTAATATTTTACTTTCCTATCAATACTCTGCACTCGTAGTTCTACCATTAGGAGAAAGAGGAGTATGTTCTCGTGTCTGCTACCTGTAGAAGAATTTAGTAGGAGCGACAGAAAACGTCGCAGATTTCTATTTAGACATAATATTGAGAATTGTTTAATTATCTTTGAAAAGCCTCATCACGTACAGACGATGGTATAAAAACTATGAACATTCTTAATAAATCGTTAGTGAATTAGCGATCCGGCGAGTCGGTGTGAGAGGTCGTCGGCCGACTACTACAATAATTCGTTCAGCTGAAACTAGGGCGGTCGCGCTCATTACAGTTCCCATATGGGTGTTGCTTGCTAGCTCAGTTTGCCCGTGTTCTTTGCGGTGACAATTCGATGTCGCACATCGAAGGTAACCACGTACATGTATCATCTAAATAACATGACCAAATTTTACAATAGTCACAGAAAAATTATAAATTTGAATCGATTCTAAATCAAATGTTACCGAAACTACTCCAACACAATTTTTTTTTATACAACAATAGCCAAAATTCTGCTAACTGCACCTATTTTTATAAATATTTTAAATCTCAGAAAAACCAGATTGACTTTCATGTATTCTTAACGAGAATACTTTAAAAACTATCTGGAACCTAAGGGTTCCAGCGCTTCTTTTCTTCAGCGCTTTATTTTTCTTACAGTTAATTATAATGTTTGCTTAAGAAACTTTTGTTATTTTTTAAATGTCAGTTACAAGATTTTGGCCGTTAACCGTCAAAATGACCATTATAAATAATAACTAAACAAATAGTTTCAGATTCTCAACAAATGTTTTGTTTTATTTTCGTTTTTGTAAATGAATTAATGCCACACTATCTCACCAATTCCTTGCCTCTTAATCAGAAAACACTAAAATACTAAAATTTAGATTTCATTTCTTAATTTGCCATACTGAGAATCGAATACCTAGCCTAAACTCACTACGCCACACTATTATGGACAAGTCGATAGCGGAGTTGCAATAGTTGGAAACCTTTGAAATTGACAAAAAAAAATATTTATTTGCATAATTGTATATATATTATTCATTAGTATATCCACATTGGTACTATATACAAAATATTGCGCAGGCGCATGTGTGCACGTGTGTGTGTAGTACTAATGATATTAAAACGTAGGCAGGTTCGGCTCCACATCAATATTTATAACGCTAAACATTTAAACATCCATTTTGCATTTTAGTTGAAATAACGTAAATCCCAATATTGTATGCGCAGAACGCTGTTCTTAATAAATATCTATTAATCATAGTTAAACATCACATGCAATTAAGAATTCTATTCTTTTTAACCAGCGGTTTCTAAAGTGAATTCCGCGAAACCTAGGGGTTCCGTAAAAAAGTTACCAGATTCCTGTGAAATTGTTTATACAGTGAAACAATTTCATTTTTTACTAAAAAACTTAAAGGAAACTAATAAAGTGTTATACTTTTAAAATATTTCTAATTAACGCTTTTTCCTCAGGAATGGCAGCGCATGGGGGGTATCATGGGCGAAACAGTATACTCGGTTATGTCCATGGTACTGCTCATGTCTATAGGCGACGGTTACCACTTTCCATCAGGTGGGCCGTCAGCTTGTTTGCCATTCTAAGTTGTATAAAAAAAAATTATATGGATGTATATTTTTTTATTTATATTAGTGCGCCATCTACCCTTTTTTTTTCTTACTTTTCTCAATGTCTTCCACCCAAAGGTTGTCTGGAGAGATTGCTTAGCGATAAGGCCGTCTTTTGTATAATTCCTCATTACAATTAAATTTTATTTACTATTTTTGTAAATGGTGTAATAAAGTGTAAATAAATAAATAAATATGGAGTTCCATAATATAAAAGGTTTTTTTTTATGGGTGAAAATGGTATGGTAACCCCGCCTGCGCTAACGGGATAGGCTGGCGGAGCACCAGTGAAGGGTGATAGATGAGAATGAAAACAGGCCAGTTAGCCCATCACGATGAATTCATCAGGAATTAACCATGATAGTTTCCAGGGGGAACCGCGAGGAGGCCGACCTGGTTGGGTATATTGCTAGCAATAGGATTCTCAGTCTCCATTACTAACAATTCCTTTCCCCCCAATAAAAGGTATTTGTTGGGCGTTCCGTTATCTTAAAAGTTTGGAAATCCTGCATTAAATAACCCTATGTCCTGTAACGATACGGATTAGAGATAAATCATAAAACATACATTGAAACTGCGTAGAGATGTTGCATCCATGTGCATCTTCTACCGAATTTATCATGAAAACTGCTCTGAGAAATTGTTCGGATTGATACCCGCTGCTGATTTTCAGCACCGCACAACCTGCCACAAACTAAAGTTCCATCCTAAACCATCTGGATAAGAAAAGAGCATATTCCTTTTTAAAAGGCCGGCAGCACGCCTGCAATGCCTCTGGTGTTGTGGGTGATCATGGGCGGCGGTAGTCGGCCAACAGTTGAACCAAATTGTAAAGAGAAACATCTATTTTTATAACGGTTGAAACCATATTAAACCATTGTATCATGCTTTATTAATCTATTCCATGTATATATGTGTATACCTATGTAGTAACACTTTTTTTTTTTCAATTCTTTCATTCAATTTAAAGGAGCAGCCATTGTAAAATTTCCCATTCCCACAATGATAAAAAAATCACATTATATGTTAATATTTACTTGGCTTGACGCAGCATTTACAGAGACGCTGCGTGCTCGAGATGGTAAACTAACGGAAATAATCGAGTATTTTCAATTTATATTGTATTTCTAGTGGTCCTTCTACACTGAGTATTATTTCTTAGATGCTTTACGTTTACTCGGTAGTCGTACAAACGGGAACCTGGGATCCAACAAAAGCACCTCGAGGTACGTCGTGTGGTTTTTAGTGCGTACGAATCCCACACACCCCAGCTGCCCTCCCTTCGGCAGATGGGACGGTCTTTCCGAAGATATCCCACACGAGAAGAAAAAAAAAAGATGCTTTACGTTACTTACGGTGGTGTCAGAGATACATTACCTATCCAGAAAAAATCTCAATTTCTTTACAAAACGTGTCTGCAAGTGCAAGAGATATAAGGAGAGTAATATTGTAGCATTTTATCCTATACGCACATTTTTTTTTAATGGATGATAATGGAATGGTAACCCCGTCTGCGCTATCGGTATACACCGGCAGGGCACCAGTGAGGGATGATAGGTGAGGATGAAGCAGATCAGTTAGCCCATTGTGACGAATCTAACAATAAATCATTCACGATCGTTTCCAGGGGGAACCACGAGGAGGTCGACCTGACAGGGTATATTGCTATCAATAGGGCTACTAGTCCCCATAACTAACAATCCCTTCTCCCCCCCCCCCCCACACACACACACACACATTAACTTCGAGTAATTGTTTTTGTGTAACATATTTGTTTACATCGCCATCACTTTTGTATATAAAAACCCTTTAAAACTAAAGAGGATCAATATTTAATGGATGGCTGAACGTTCGAAGGTTATTGATAAATCACATGGGGCCCATTAGTGACATTCGAGTGTAGCTATTCATTAAATATAATCACGAAAGTTACAGTTTTCAGTATTGGAATCCATTCGTCAAATTCTAAAATAGAACTAACGATATTTCCACTTGTCGGTTTTTTTTTTGTGTATGGGTGATAATGAAATAGTGACCCCACCCGCGCTATCGGTATACACCGGCGGGGCACCAGTGAAGGATGATAGGTGAGGATGAAACAGGTCAGTTAGTCCATCGTGACGAATTCAACATGAATTGTTCACGATGGTTTCCAGGGGGAAGCACGTGGAGGTCGACCTAATAGGGGATATTGCTAGTAACGGGGCTGTCAAACTCCATTGCTAACAATCCCTTTTCCCCCGTCCACTTGTCGGTTCTAAGTATGTTATTTAATTTGAAATTTGTTTGTGTTTTTGTATGGTGTTACTTATTCATAATCTTGATGGCGCGGGCTAGGTGATGAGGTGCTAATTGAAAATCAGCGTTTCTGCTTTTGCATGAACCTTAAGCTGAATTAGCATCCTTCTTCTTTACCATAACACTGTCTGATTTCTACTACTCTTTATATATAAATGGAAACTTTTTTTCTATATTTTATTTATTTATTTATTTTTATGTTGTCATTACTTATAATCTAAGTATATGTAAATGTAATGGTTTTTTCCCAAAGAGGGTTGACGTCAGGCAGGTCGCCGGTCGTAAAATTAAAAACCAAATCTTTTTGTAATATGGATAAAACCATATTACGCCGACCCCAAATGATTGGGATAAGGGTAGGAAGATGATGATGATGATGTAAGTGTTATGGTTTATTGAAATAAATTTTCATTCATTTATTCATTCAAATTATTGATACGACTTGGGTAACAATGTAAACTCAGATCGACCAACTGAAAGATATAAAGATAATAGTTCGTTAATGGTTATAAATATTGATTTACTGACGTGTGCCTCTGTCTGTCCGTTGCAGTTGATTACTGCACAGACGTCATCATGAAGTGGAACGACGTCACGGATATCAGTAAGTACTCTGGACGCATTGTCCCATCACATTGTTGGTTTAATTGACACATTTTACCAGAGGGAGACTTTGTACAAAAGTAATTTGCCGACCTCTTGGGTTTTGGTACGTCTGTCCCATTCATTTGAAACATGTTTCCACAAACAAATTTCCCATTCGTGTTTCTACCGTGAAGCAGTTGTGTTTGCATAACTGTGTTTCGGTTTGAAGGGTGGGATATGGCGTGAATTTACAGGGTACATAGGAATAACACCTGAGTCCTCAGGAATGGCAACGCATGGGGGTATCATGAGCGAAACAGTATACTCTGTTATGTCCACGGTACTGCTAATGTGTATAGGCGCCGGTTACCGCTTTCCATCAGGTGGGACGTCAGTTTGTTTGCTATTCTAAGTTGTATAAAAAACGCAATTTTCAATATTAACACTGTGTTTAGTGACTACATTTGAATTACATATTAAAACAACAGTCGAATTATACGACAAATAAGCGATAGACGTAAATGCTCGTTTGTTATTACGGGATGCGAGAACAAGATAACCGATGGGATAATTTGCTCGCAAGTCCAAATAATGGTTGTAAAAATAATTGTACACGACATTCTTGCGGACGTATTGGTTTTGGCAACGTTCACGGGGATCGTTGGCAAGGTTGCCACTAGTACTACTAGAGAGTAGATGATCACTACTCGACGTAGTTGTGTGCATCGCCACGCAGACTGCTGTGTGCGCACTGCGTACGCCACGCAAGCCGCACCGATGCGTGCCCGCGCGCGGATGTTAAAGGTCATGTCAATTTAGTTTAATTGAAAAGTAAACAAATCCCAAGCAATTTTAACATATTATCACACAATCGCCGACTGACTTGATTGAATTAGTAATTTTGAAGGTACTGGAAAACGAATGGTGTTTCTTAGTACATACTGTTTGCTGTTTATGTACATACACCACCCACGCGCTATCGTTCGAATTAAAGTTGTGTGCAATCACCTCGCAGGCCACTTCCTGGTTGGTTGCTTTGATTTTCAATGTGGTGATCCTTGATCTTAGCGTCCCAGTAGTACTTATATGAACGGACGGTGACGCAACTTTGTCGTGTCTAAGTGTATTTTTTTTTATACAACTTAGAATGGCAAACAAGCTAACGACCCACCTGAAGGAAAGTGATAACCGGCGCCTATAAATATGAGCAGTATCATGGACATAACAGAGTATACTGTTTCGCCCATGGTACCCCCCCTTCCGTTGCCATTTCTGAGGACTCAGGTGTTATTCCTCTGTACCCTGTAAATTCACGTCATATCCCACCCTTCAAACCGAAACACAGCCATGCAAACACAACTGCTTCACGGTAGAAACACGAGTGGGACAGAGGTACACAAGAAATCGACTTTTGTACAAAGTCTCCCCCTGGTAAGTAATCAATTAGTTCAACTAGTCTTCATAATTAATGCCAATGAAGCTTGTATCGTCTGTTTGGTTATTTCCATTATCGATGTCCTGTAAATTTAATCGACCAAAAATATTTTAATTGGTTTACCTTTAAGACCTATGCTTACGAGAACAGCGGATAAAATTGTTCATTCCAACAATATACTCGAATTATGTTAATTTTTAATATAGTATTTTATTTATCCTATGATGAAATAACTTTCTTTCGTTATTTAAATATTTGTGTACCTATATATAAGTTGGAAGGAGTTGGTGTCGTGTCGTATCAAGAGGTGAAGAGACTCGCTGTAAATCGTAGTGAGTGGCAAGAGCTCCACCGACAAGAGCGCAGCTCTTAAATGGATAGATAGATATAAGTATACTTTAATATCTGCTTAATAAAATAATACATATATTAAACTAAACTTTACAATATATACTTATAAGTATTCCATTCCGTTCGTTTTGCTACCCGGCATGAATAATGCAAGTGTAACTGTAATATTTAAGAAAAATAGCTCCAACTTATTAGGATTGAGATAATTGGCAATGACTTCGGGAAGATGACTGTTGTCGCCTGACGATGTATACAAACAATGATAGGGTCATTCATACAGAAATAGTGCGGAAGGGAGCGCTGCGAACGGCGGAGGACGCGCGGCTGCGCGGTGCGGCGGCGGCTCGGCGCTGCAAGAGGGCTGGTTATAGATAAATATAGAATGGATGCAATGGATGTGCTTATCTCATTTTATGCTGTCCATCATAAGTCAAGACCTTCTCTTTCGCTCCTTTGATACCACAGTATTTGATTGATAGACACATTTGTTTCGTATTAAGATGTGTTTTTTTCTATTTGGAACATTATTAAGATCGATTCACTGTAAATATAAATGGATGCATCTTTTTTTATTGGATGAAAATGGTACGGTAACCCCGCCTGCGCTAACGGGATACACTGGCGGGGCACCAGTGAAGGGTGATCGATGAGGATAAAAACAGGCCAGTTAGCCCATCATGACAAATTCACAAGGAGTTAACCATGATAGTTTCCAGGGAGAGTCACGAAGAGGTCGACCTGGTTGGGTATATTGCTAGCAGCGGGATTCTTAGTCTCCATTACTAACAATCCCTTTCCCCCCAAGTGGATGCATTATATCTAGTTATTTGTAATACCCAAGTCGAATGTGTATAAGAAATTTTGTTTGGAGCTAATTGGACAAAACCTAAATTGCAGGATTAAGTTAATTTAGAACTTGCATGGACATAATTTAAAATATATCTGCGTATTGTCAGAGTATAAATAATAGTTCGAGTTAAATCGTCGTTATATGGTATTTTGGCAAAATATGACATTGTTATTAAATTAAAACCTATGGTAATTATATGTATTAAAATCTATGGTATTTTGGCAAAATATGAAATTGTTATTAAATAAAAACATTTCTTAAGTTCGTAGTGGTGCCCACTACGACTTCGTGCATTACATCTCCACACCATCTTGTGATGGTGTGAAAGTGATGTCTTCGTAAATCACTCTCTAAAACGCCTATTTTCTACTGAAATTATTGAACATCTAAAATTTACTTTTTTTTTGTTATACAACTGGCAAACAAGCTGACGGCCCACCTGATAGAAAGTGGTAACCGTCGCCTGTAGACATGAGCAGTACCGTGGACATAACAAAGTATACTGTTTCGCCCATGATACCCCCCATGCGTTGCCATTCTTGTGGACTCAGATGTTATTCCTCTGTACCCAGTAAATTCATGCCATATCTCACCCTTCAAACCTAAACACAGCCATGCAAACACAACTGCTTCACGGTTGAAACACGAATGGGACAGAGATACCCAAGCAATCGACTTTTGTACAAAGTCTCCCTATAGTAAAACTAATAAACTTATAAAAAAGAAGCAAAGAGTCGACTCCCATTCATTACTTGTAAAGCATTCACTTTGCATTTTGGATTGTGACTAGTAAGCAACACGGTAGACAGAAATTATGAAGTTGAAACGAAAATCTCTACTGTGATCCAATACGACACAGGCCAAGCACGCGTGACGCGATGACCATTTAACAATAATAAAAAGAAAATACGGGAAATCCATATGGGAAAAATTAAAATTACAATTTAGTTTCTACATTGATTTACGTTACATTTGCTCCTTCCACTTTAACCGGTAACGACGAAAAATTCGGCCTTGAATTTATAAAGAACACGCTATTGCCAAATCTCTAGATGTTTTCATTAAGGCAGATGCAATTCGTTTTATTTTAAATCGGCATTTTGGCAACGGTAGCCGCTGATTCGGTTGTACATTTCATACATTTTGTAAAACCATACTGATTTTCTAATCAATCGTTTATCGGACGACGATTTGTATGCAAATACGAATACCAACAAACAACTGTAATTAAGCATAAATATACAATTACACGAACCGGCCAGGCGGTGAGAAATCGATGAAAATGACGTCGTTGTAATGTTGCCTATTGGACTTCAACAACAACTGGTGGTTGAACAATTTGAAAAGTTTCTAACAGTCTTTATGTTGAAGTCATGTTTATTTGAACGTGACGAGTCGGCGGCCATGTTGCGCGCGCGCCGAATTGCAGATTACATCACTGTGCAAAAAAACGTGCGCGTGCAGTGCAGTGGGGGGGGGGGGGGGGGGGGAGTTTGATGGGAGTGCTGCGCGCGATGGTCTCGGCGGTAGGGCGCGGGCGGCGGCGGGGAGGGCGCTCGCTGTGGCTCGCTTTGACGGCCTTGGCCTTGCTCGAGCTACGGCCAAGGTGAGCATTCAACGTTATACCGCAATTATACATGCGCCCACAAGTCTGCCGGTACACATTAACCGCCGCATATACATACATACATACAGGAACCAGAAAAACGTACCTCGATCATTGTAATAATCAATCGAGCCAGTGGGCCGCAGTGTGCCGGCTACGAGAAATCCTGTGCAGTATGAGTAACGAGAAACGATTTCATGCGGCCACTTGAATTGGAAGAGCAAACACTGGTTTTGACGCCTTTCCCGCGTCTGTTAGATCAACATACAACCATCTCGAGAACAGGTTTCCAATAATTAAGTTGTCGGTGGGCACTCGGCTCTAAAAGGTTCCACCTAAAAGCAGTTTTCTAAATGAGCTGCTACCATATATGTAACGTTTGTACAGAGAAGCCACCGGCACCAGTACTGGCTTAATATTTTGAAAACAGTAGCAAAGTTTTTGTAATGATTTCAGACGAAACATTCTGACGAATTGAATGAACCTCTCAGTTTTGAAGGTAGATTAAAAAGTTCAAAAGAAGCAGGAAATAATGTATTATTGTATATATCATTAGTAAAAATAAAGATTATAGAGAGAACGAAAGAATAGATGGAATAATTTCTAGACTTAATTGAGGAAAATTAAATGAAAACATTTCACATTTAAAATGTTAAATTATGTTTTACAAATACATGAAGGTATTATATATGCCTTCATTATTGGGTAATGTCCTTTTTATTAGATTTTCTTTTTTAATATTGTCTTATACATATTTTTGTTGTATTGCAATATTTC